ACACACTCACTCACCGACACACTCATTCATTGACACACTCATTCACTGACACACTCATTCACTGAAACACTCACTTACCGACACACTCACTCACTGACATACTCACTCACTGACACACTCACTGACACACTCATTCACTGACACACTCATTCACCGACACACTCATTCACTGACATTGTCATTCATTGACACACTCACACATTAACACACTCATTCACTGACACATGCATTCACTGACACACTCACTCACTGACACACTCACTCACTGACACACTCACTCACTGACACACTCATTCACCGACCCACTCATTCACTGACAGTCATTCACTGACACACTCATTCACTGACACAGTCATTCACTGATACACTCATTCACTGACACACTCATTCACCGACACACTCATTCACTGACACATGCATTCACTGACACTGTCATTCATTGACACACTCATAAACTCGCGCATTCATTCACTGACACATGCATTCACTGACACTGTCATTCATCGACACACTCATTCACCGACACACTCATCCACTGACACATGCATTCACTGACACTGTCATTCACCGACCCACTCATTCACCGACACACTCATCCACTGACACATGCATTCACTGACACTGTCATTCACCGACCCACTCATTCATTGACACACTCATTCATTGACACACTCATTCACTGACACACTCATTCACTGACACACTCACTCACCGACACACTCATCCACTGACACATGCATTCACTGACACTGTCATTCACCGACCCACTCATTCATTGACACACTCATTCATTGACACACTCATTCACTGACACACTCATTCACTGACACACTCACTCACTGACACACTCATTCACCGACCCACTCATTCACTGACAGTCATTCACTGATACACTCATTCACTGACACACTCATTCACTGACACACTCATTCACTGACACTGTCATTCATTGACACACTCACTCACCGACACACTCATCCACTGACACATGCATTCACTGACACTGTCATTCACCGACCCACTCATTCATTGACACACTCATTCATTGACACACTCATTCACTGACACACTCATTCACTGACACACTCACTCACTGACACACTCATTCACCGACCCACTCATTCACTGACAGTCATTCACTGATACACTCATTCACTGACACACTCATTCACTGACACACTCATCCACTGACACATGCATTCACTGACACTGTCATTCACCGACACACTCATTCACTGACACTGTCATTCATTGACACACTCATTCATTGACACACTCATTCACTGACACATTCATTCACTGACACATGCATTCACTGACACTGTCATTCACCGACCCACTCATTCACTGACACAGTCATTCACTGACACTGTCATTCATCGACACACTCATAAACTCGCGCATTCATTCACTGACACACTCATTCACAGAGACACTCATTCACTGACACATGCATTCACTGACACAGTCATTCACTGACACACTCATTCACCGACACACTCATTCACTGACACACTCATTCACTGACACACTCATTCACTGACACAGTCATTCACTGACACTGTCATTCAGTGACACACTCATAAACTCGCGCATTCATTCACTGACACACTCATTCACAGAGACACTCATTCACTGACACACTCATTCACCGACACAATCATTTTCTGACACAATCACGCACTCACTCATATTTCCTGTACAACATCTTCTAATATTTTCCCGTCCAGAATATGACCATTGAAATAATCAGTTATGACGAGACAGAAGTATGTACTCATCGTTGATACATTGCCAGCAAGAAATAACATCCGTCTGTTTACACGAACGTGTAATAACCGTTTATCTACATTTGGCGCCAAGAGATGTATTTTATCACGTGTAATCCCCATTCAATATCTATCTATGTAAATACGCATCTCCATCAATCGCTGTATGCTGAATATACACCGACAGTCTATACCCCAAACATTATGTCAGCGTGTTTCTGGTTTTGTAGGGCGGTCGGGTAGCCTAGTGGTTAAAGCGTTCGCTCGTCACGCCGAAGACCCGGGCTCGATTCCCGACATGGGTACAATGTGTGAAGCCCATTTCTGGTGTCCCCCGCCGTGATATTGCTGGAATATTGCTTAAAGCGGCGTAAAACCATACTCACTCACTCACTCACTCTGGTTTTGTAGGAAAATGTTGTTAATTTCATTCCTTCAGTTGTAGGCGTTGTTTACGAAGACAAAGCAGTCCTACTACCTCATTTCTAAAGAAGAACCGTGGTTTACGAAGACAGAGTCGAGCCTACTGCTTCATTTCTAAAAAGGCGTAATTTACGAAGTGAGTGAGTGAGTGAGTAAGGTTTTACACCGCTTTTAGCAATATTCCAGCAATATCACGGCGGAGGACACCAGAAATGGGCTTCACACATTGTACCCATATCAGGAATCGAACCCGGGTCTTCGGCGTGACGAGCGAATGCTTTGACCACTAGGCTACCCGATCGCCCCTTAATTTACGAAGCCGGATGGCGCCTTCTGGTTCATTTCTACAGAAGAGGCCTGGTTCGTGCAGAAAACGCAGAGGGTGTGGGGCCTTCTGGTTCATTTCTACAGAAGAGGCCTGGTTCGTGCAGAAAACGCAGAGAGTGTGGCGCCTTCTGGTTCATTTCTACAGAAGAGGCCTGGTTCGTGCAGAAAACGCAGAGAGTGTGGGGCCTTCTGGTTCATTTCTACAGAAGAGGCCTGGTTCGTGCAGAAAACGCAGAGAGTGGGGGGCCTTCTGGTTCATTTATCAAGAAGAGGCGTGTTTTACGAAGACAGTGTGCGAGCTACTGGTTTATTTCTAAAGAAGCGAAGTTCACGTAGACAGAGAGGAACCTACTGGTTTATTTCGGAAGAGGCGTGATTCCGTAAGAAGAAACGTGATTTTTCACAAACAGCCTGGTGTCGTCTCAATTTGATAATGATTCATAAGGACTTGCTCATTATGTTGTTGGAATCCTAAAAATCGACTTGGGCGGAGGTTTATTGTTGTGAATGTGAAGAGTGTTTTGTCGTTGTTATTTACGAAGTCTGTGTGAGACCTACCGGTTTTTCTAAAGCAGCAGCTCTCACCGTCTTCGTAGACCACCCTCTGCTTTAGCAACGTAGCAATGTGTCTCACCCTGTCTTCGTAAACCACCCTCTGCGTCAGCAACGTAGCAATGTGTCTCACCCTGTCTTCGTCAACCACCCTCTGCGTCAGCAACGTAGCAATGTGTCTCACCCTGTCTTCGTAAACCACCCTCTACTCTATCAACGTATTAATGTGTCTCATCCTGTCTTCGTAAACCATCCTCTGCTTTAGCAACGTAGCAATGTGTCTCACCCTGTCTTCGTAAACCACCCCTCTGCTTCAGCAACGTAGCAATGTGTCTCACCCTGTCTTCGTAAACCACCCTCTGCTCTATCAACGTATTAATGTGTCTCATCCTGTCTTCGTAAACCATCCTCTGCTTTAGCAACGTAGCAATGTGTCTCACCCTGTCTTCGTAAACCACCCCTCTGCTTCAGCAACGTAGCAATGTGTCTCACCCTGTCTTCGTAAACCACCCTCTGCTTCAGCAACGTAGCAATGTGTCTCACCCTGTCTTCGTAAACCACCCCTCTGCTTCAGCAATGTAGCAATGTGTCTCACCCTGTCTTCGTAAACCACCCTCTGCTTCAGCAACGTAGCAATGTGTCTCACCCTGTCTTCGTAAACCACCCCTCTGCTTCAGCAACGTAGCAATGTGTCTCACCCTGTTTTCGTAAACCACCCTCTGCTTCAGCAATGTAGCAATGTGTCTCACCCTGTCTTCGTAAACCACCCCTCTGCTTCAGCAATGTAGCAATGTGTCTCACCCTGTCTTCGTAAACCACCCTCTGCTTCAGCAATGTAGCAATGTGTCTCACCCTGTCTTCGTAAACCACCCCTCTGCTTCAGCAACGTAGCAATGTGTCTCACCCTGTCTTCGTAAACCCGACCCTGCTTTGGCAAGGTCACCAGCGGGTCTTACCCTATCTTCGTAAACCACCCCTCTGCTTCAGCAACGTAGCAATGTGTCTCACCCTGTCTTCGTACACCGACCTCTGCTTTAGCAACGTATCAATGTGTCTCACCCTATATTCGTAAACCGCCCTCTGCCTTAGCAATGTAACAATGTGTCTCACCCTGTCTTCGTAAACCACCCCATGCCTTAGCAATGTAACAATGTGTCTCACCCTGTCTTCGTAAACCACCCCATGCCTTAGCAATGTAACAATGTGTCTCACCCTGTCTTCGTAAACCACCCCATGCCTTAGCAATGTAACAATGTGTCTCACCCTGTCTTCGTAAACCACACCTCTGCTTTAGCAACGTAGCAATGTGTCTCACCCTATCTTCTTAAACCACACCCCATGCCTTAGCAATGTAACAATGTGTTTCACCCTGTCTTCGTAAACCACCCCATGCCTTAGCAACGTAACAATGTGTCTCACCCTGTCTTCGTAAACCACACCTCTGCTTTAGCAACGTAGCAATGTGTCTCACCCTGTCTTCGTAAACCACACCCCATGCCTTAGCAATGTAACAATGTGTCTCACCCTGTCTTCGTAAACCACACCTCTGCTTTAGAATTAACCAATGGGTCTTACCCTGTATTCGTAAACTACACCTCTGCTTTAGCAACGTATCAGTGTGTCTCACCCTATCTTCGTAAACTACGCTGCTTCATTAACCACTAGGTCTTATTTCTAAAGAAGATGTGTGGTTTACGAGGACATTGTAAGATCTTCTGGTTCATTTTTAGAGCAGAGGCTTAAGTCTGGAGAAGAAGCTTGGTTTAGGGAGACAGGGTGACACCTTCTGGTTCATTTCTAAGAAAGCGGCGCGCTTTACGAAGACAGGCTCATGCCTGGTCGTAGTTAAGTAGGAGTCAAGTGAACAATAAATCTGAGATATCATGAACTAATTTTCTGTTCGTTGCATCATGGTTTTTGTTTCAGCAGGAGGCGAAAAAAAGGTTGAATGGGCAGCCAGATATCGGTTACAGTCAAATACAAAGATTACATTAATGTACGGACAATCCGAGCCATGCTGCAGTTGCGGCTTCAGGTACTCATTCTGCTGAAGAATGTCACTTGAACAGCCTCCAACCCCTGGGAATATTATACCTCAGCGAAATGGTCGTTTTTTTATAGGACCACTGTTAAATCGCTTGCAACAGAAATCTTGAAAAACAAACAAAAAATGATAATATTTTGTGAGGTCTGTATTTTGTCACATTTTAGACAAATGTCAAGCCAGCATTACACTTGTCAAAAGTAATGTCACCAATTACAACTGTGGGTTGTCGAGGCTCAACCTATCGGGGTCATAGCATTAGTTGGTGTTTGATGCTCAACTTATCAGGATCATAGCAACAGTAGGTGTAGGCATTTTGTAGACGAAGTTTAAATATTGTGTGGACATACCCCGGCGTACCATCAACTCATCAAAGGCCCCAATCAGTCATAATACTTTTGTTTATATTGCTAGCTTCACCCTTTTGTTCATATTACTGGCTTCACCTCTTTGTTCATATTACTGGCTTCACCCTTTTGTTTATATTACTGGCTTCACCCTTTTGTTTATATTACTGGCTTCACCCCCCTTTTGTTTATATTACTGGCTTCACCCGTTTGGTCATATTACTGGCTTCACCCTCCTTTTGTTTATATTACTGGCTTCACCCATTTGGTCATATCACTGGCTTCACCCTTTTGTTTATATTACTGGCTTCACCCGTTTGGTCATATTACTGGCTTCACCCTTTTGTTCATATTACTGGCTTCACCGATCAATATGTAATAAAGAAGTTGTTAATCAATAAATCTTATATTAACTTGGACAGTGTGTAGACAAAGAGCAGATATTGTGAAGACATTGTGTGAACAAAATGTAGACAGTGTGTAGATGGTGTAGATATTGTGGAGACAAAGTTTACATATTGTGTAGAAAAACTTTAGATTTTGTGTAGACAAAGTGTATTCATTTTGTGGAGACATAGTGTAGATATTTTTTAGACAGTGTAGATATTGTGTAGACAGTGTAGATATTGTGTAGACAGTGTATTCATTTTGTGTAGACATAGTGTAGATATTGTTTAGACAAAATGTAGACATTATGTAGACAGTGTAGATATTGTATAGACAATGTAGATATTGTGTAGACAGTGTAGATATTGTGTAGACATTGTAGATATTGTGTAGACAGTGTATTCATTTTGTGTAGACATAGTGTAGATATTGTTTAGACAAAACGTAGACATTGTGTAGACAGTGTAGATATTGTATAGACAATGTAGATATTGTGTAGACAGTGTAGATATTGTGTAGACAGTGTAGATATTGTGTAGACAGTGTATTCATTGTGTGTAGACATAGTGTAGATATTGTTTAGACAAAATGCAGACATTGTGTAGTCAGTGTAGATATTGTGTTGACAGTGTAGATATTGTGTAGACAAAGTGTTCACATTGTGTAGACACTGTGTAATCAATGTGTAAACAGTTTGTAGACATTGTGTAGAAAAAGTTTACATATTGTGCAGATAAAGTGTCGACATTTGTTAATCACAGTATAGACATTGTGTAGACAGTGTCGATATTGTGTGCACAAAGCGTAGACCTTGTGCAGACAAGGTCTAGATATTGGTAAGGGAAAATGAAGACATAATGTAGAAAATATTGCGAAAACAGTGTAGACATTTTGTAGAAAAAATGTAGATATTGTGCAGACAATGTGTAGACACTGTTTTGAATCACATCTTTATCTCATGCTACTTTAATGTCTTTAAACGTTTTGATATTATTGATTGTTTGTTTGTTTGTTTGTTTGTTTGTTTGTTTGTTTGTTTGTTTGTTTGTTTGTTTGTTTGTTTGTTTGTTTGTTTGTTTTGCGAGCCTGACCACCTGATCCCGTTTGTCGCTTCTTAAGACAAGTATGGGTTGCTAAAGATCAATTTCAACCGGGTCTTCACGGGTCTTTGATAACGTAATATATGTTTTGATTCTATACTTGCTCGTCTATAAAAGATAATGTATAACAATGTGTTACCCGATATAGACATGTCATCTCAAGACAAATGATAATTAAATATTGACGGGAGGGAGGACAGGTGCAGAATCTCGTGTGTTCACGTTCTCGGTCATGCACAAACGATATTCCTAAAAACGCTTCACATGTAGAAACATGCTCCTTTGATTGGAATGAGAGAAATAAATTATTCACTTGTGCTAATCTCCTTGGTTTTCTTTAGAGATCGAAGATAAGAAAAGAAGTTGCAATCAATATTGGAGACTCTGGGATGACGCAAAAGAAATGAGGTATTCAAACCACGACGAGTAAGTGTACATTGTTCTGTCGATGTGTAATTAGGAAAGTAGCATGAAAGAAAACATATCAGTTCAGAGCGTGAGAAATATACTCCCGAGAGATATTCTATTGGACATAAAATAAATTAGCCATGGTGGGATTTGTTCCACCTTCCAGAGAGTTAGAGCGCGGATTGCGATGAATCAATACCCTCGCCAACAGTGCCCTCAGCTGGGAAACATGTAATTAATATATGTCTTATTTACGATATACAAGAAATACTGGGGCAAAACTTCACAGTACAAGTCAACTTTGAAGTGTCACTGTTTTGCTTCTAATTTTTTATTTGTTTACTAATCGGATACATTTGCAGCATATGTTTAAGACATTTTGCTGTTGCTGTAGTTAAATTGTTTGTTGTTTTGTGTATGTCACGCCGACAAAAGCATGTTTCAAAGGCAGTTATTTAGGTTTTCCCAAGACGTTTGTAGTGTGACACTTCGCAGGCTTCGCGTGTGAAGAGCAACACAAACCTGTTTCAGAATTCATTATAAATACATCAGGTTCTCCACTTCCACAAGGTCACACAGTGCCTCATGTGCCGACCGTTACACACGTTATACCTCACCCCATACACATGTCATACACAAAATATACTTTATAAAGTCTGCTATACAACACGTATACTTTATAAACTGTGTCATACAACACGTATATTAAATATACTAGGTCATACAACACGTATGCTTTATAAACGATGTCATACAACACGCATGCTTAATAAACTATGTCATACAACATGTATACTTTATAAACTACGTCATACAACACGTATACTTCATAAACTAGATCATACAACACGTATACTTTATAAACTATGTCATACAACATGTATACTTAATAAACTATGTCATACAACACGTTTAATTCATAAACTAGGTCATACAACACGTATACTTCATAAACTATGTCATGCAACACGTATGCTTAATAAACTAGGTCATACAACACGTATACTTAATAAACTAGGTCATACAACACGTATACTTAATAAACCATATCATACAACATATTTTCCTTATAAATATGTCATGTAACAAGTATACTTTGTAAACATGTCATACAACACATATACTTTACGACAAAACCCTTTCTATATTCATAAGATCTGTCATAATATCTGTCAAAAACAGAGTCCATTGTACGATTCCGACTATATCATGAGCATTTGTTTATGAATCACCATCAAATAGTGATGATACCAGTTTCATCAAAGGAGAGCGTATCCTGCCCCACCGGTGGCACCCGTCCAACACAACCAAAGACATGTTAATTGTTCACCTGAAAAAGCCCGGGAAGCACAAGCTGAACTGAGGAATTGCATCCGACATCATTTTTGTCACTGATGCGTCAGATTTGGAAATGTCTCCATATGTCTACCATAAAACGTTTTAAAAGCTTTACTGAGGCCTTGAATGTTGTAACCTTGATCAAACAAACTTCTGAGCAAGAGATGTATGACGCTTTTTGAAATCTTGGTAACAAGAGCAAACCTCAAAAGTTGTGGAATGTGGACACCAAAGGCTGGAACTGCCGGAATATTGCGCGATATTGGAAAGTTGAAGTCATTCCTTTTGTCATACAGTCTTGTGGAGAGTGTTTTGTTACTCTCAATCTGTATGCATAGATCTAAACATGAAACAGATGAGGCGGTCTCACTGATCTCCTTTATTTCTAGTTCTGGTGGGGATGTCAGTGGAAGGGACTTGGCTTTTGTTATATGGCAGGGGACTATATTGTTAAACGATTATTGTGACACCATCAGGAATGAAGGAATAATCATATACTCCGAAACGTTGTGTTCCTCATAATAAAGAAGTTGACATCCATATATTCTCTTCCTCATATGTCTTTTTTTAAATCTATATGTGATTAGATGAGGTTTTACTGGGATTTTTTTATATAGTTTAGGTGGGTAAATCAATGGAAGGGAATTGTCAATTTGACCATTATTGAATGGCATTAGAACATCGATATACATGTATTTATAACTGAAGTTAAACTCCATGGACATTTTTCCGTGTTATGATTTTGCAATCCGAGCAGACATTACGATTCATATGCACGAAGAAGCAGATTCGCAAGGAGGAAAAATCAATTGGTGCCTATGGGGATGGCTACTGCTTAATAAACTGCCCTATATCCAATTTCAACATCTATGTTATCCAGGGGGGGGGGGGGGGGGGGGGGGTGGGGGGGTGAGGGGGGTTGCCTTGGGGTACGCACACACCCCCTTTTTTATTTCGAAAAAAATCTTTATTTCTGTATAAATTACCACCAAAGACAATAAATAGATCTTAATTGTGCACCCACCCCCCCACCCCCACCCCCCCTTTTTAAAAAAGCTGTATCCGCCCATATTGTTGTTGTTGTTTCTGTAAACATTAGATCACATTTGCTTTCACTTTTGACAAATATTCCCAAACCTCTCAAAATAGAGATATAACTGTGTCAATGACCACCACGTTTACTGACAGTTGCCCAATATCCATGAAGGGTGCCGTCTGGTATAGTGGTCTTCAAGGTTGAAAAATCGAATGTTTAGACAATATTGAAATCTGTCTTTTCTGAGATCGAAAACATTCATGTAAATGCTTTGAGTATTTTGATAAGCCATATGGATATGGTGTTACTTCCACTTGTCTCAACACTCGTGTGCTTTGTGCACTGCGTGTTACAAAACGCATTAAGTATAATGATGTTATGCTACACGTCTTCTTAATGATTCATATGATACAATACGCCACTTAATAATTTACATGATGCAAAAATTATACTTTATGAACTATTTTATACACCCTGCATTTCTTCATCACACTGTAGACACAGTGTTTAGACTAGAGCGCTTCTTTACACTGCAGACACGGTGTTTAGACTAGAGCACTTCACCACACTGCAGACACGGTGTTTAGACTAGAGCACTTCATCACACTGAAGACACGGTGTGTAGACAAGAGCCCTTCATTACACTGCAGATACGGTGTTCAGCATATAGAGCGCTTCATCACAGTGCAGACACGGTGTTTAGAATAGAGCGCTTCATCACACTGTAGACACGGTGTTTAGACTAGAGCACTTTATTACACTGCAGACACGGTGTTTAGACTAGAGCACTTCATCACACTGTAGACACGGTGTTTAGAATAGAGCGCTTCATCACACTGTAGACACGGTGTTTAGACAAGAGCCCTTCATCACACTGTAGACACGGTGTTTAGAGTAGAGCACTTCATTACACTGCAGACACGGTGTTTAGAATAGAGCGCTTCATCACACTGCAGACCTGGTGTTTAGAATAGAGCGCTTCATCACACTGTAGACACGGTGTTTAGAATAGAGCGCTTCATCACACTGTAGACACGGTGTTTAGCGTAGAGCACTTCATTACACTGTAGACACGGTGTTTAGAATAGAGCGCTTCATCACACTGTAGACACGGTGTTTAGACTAGAGCGCTTCATTACACTGAAGACACGGTGTTTAGACTAGAGCACTTCATCACACTGTAGACACGGTGTTTAGAATAGAGCGCTTCATCACACTGTAGACACGGTGTTTAGAATAGAGCCCTTCATCACACTGTAGACACGGTGTTTAGAATAGAGCGCTTCATCACACTGTAGACACGGTGTTTAGAATAGAGCGCTTCATCACACTGTAGACACGGTGTTTAGAATAGAGCGCTTCATCACACTGTAGACACGGTGTTTAGAATAGAGCACTTCATCACACTGTAGACACGGTGTTTAGAATAGAGCGCTTCATCACACTGTAGACACGGTGTTTAGAATAGAGCACTTCATCACACTGTAGACACGGTGTTTAGAATAGAGCGCTTCATCACACTGTAGACACGGTGTTTAGCGTAGAGCACTTCATTACACTGCAGACACGGTGTTTAGAATAGAGCGCTTCATCACACTGCAGACCTGGTGTTTAGAATAGAGCGCTTCATCACACTGTAGACACGGTGTTTAGAATAGAGCGCTTCATCACACTGTAGACCTGGTGTTTAGAATAGAGCGCTTCATCACACTGCAGACCTGGTGTTTAGAATAGAGCGCTTCATCACACTGTAGACACGGTGTTTAGCGTAGAGCACTTCATTACACTGTAGACACGGTGTTTAGAATAGAGCGCTTCATCACACTGTAGACACGGTGTTTAGACTAGAGCGCTTCATTACCCTGAAGACACGGTGTTTAGACTAGAGCACTTCATCACACTGTAGACACGGTGTTTAGACTAGAGCACTTCGTCACACTGCAGACACGGTGTTTAGACTAGAGCGCTTCATTACACTGCAGACACGGTGTTTAGAGTAGAGCACTTTATTACACTGTAGACACGGTGTTTAGACTAGAGCACTTCATTACACTGTAGACACGGTGTTTAGACTAGAGCACTTTATTACACTGCAGACACGGTGTTTAGACTAGAGCACTTCATTACACTGTAGACACGGTGTTTAGACAAGAGCACTTTATTACACTGCAGACACGGTTTTAGACTAGAGCGCTTCATTAAACTGCAGACACGGTGTTTAGACTAGAGCACTTCATTACACAGCTGAGAAACCCTCGACAAGAACGCTACACAGGGAGGTTTACCCAGCTGAGAAACCCTCGACAGGAACGCTACACAGGGAGGTTTACCCAGCTGGGAAACCCTCGACAGGAACGCTACACAGGGGGGTTTACCCAGCTGAGAAACCCTCGACAGGAACGCTACACAGGGAGGTTTACCCTGCAGGGACAACCCTCGATAGAAACAGGACACGGTCCGAGCATACAGCTGACAACACCGTGGCTGGCATCTCTACACTGTATTGTACAATACCATTAGGCAACCCATGGTTATAATTAATCCCTCACACTCCTCACACAGGTCGGATACTTTTATCTTCCCCATTCTGGCTCTAAGTCTCCCGGATTAGGATGAAAGCCATTGCAAACTTGCCTCGTAAACAATTCCGACGTTTTCATTTTCTAGTAGGCAGTTGGGGATTTGGGAGCCAACTCGACCCTCTGTCTGCCGCAAGGACGCCAGGTAACTCAAGGCGGGAATCTTTAACAAGTTTTTCTCAGTGAGAATACAGGGTGTTAGAATAACTCTTGACTCGTCCACGTTGTGATTGAGGAGCGCGTGGTGCGCTACTGCGCCAGGTAAGCAACGCATATGCCGTGTTACAGGAATGTAGCCCCTGACGGTGGAGATAAGGACGTCACTGATGTATGCTGCTAGCTCCCTTTATGTCGAACACCAAACATAACTTTACGGTTACCATAGTTTCCAGATACAGCTATTAATGTGAACATGTAACACACAGTCGACGAATGTAGCTAAGTTCGACATAAACAATATTTAATATATTTATGTTCAGTAAAATGAAATATATATAGTACATTTGTTATACGGACTCTGATAACGCTTTGTTATACCGGCTTTCTATAGCTGGTAGGGTGGGGAGAAACTGCCATCTATTACATAAAGATAATGTGCTATTTAATGGACGTCACGGAAGGGGCTGATGTTAGACGTCACGAAAGGGGCTGATGGTGGACGTCATGGAAGGGGCTGATGGTGGACGTCACGGAAGGGGCTGTTGGTGGACGTCACGGAAGGGGCTGATGTTAGACGTCACGGAAGGGGCTGATGTTAGACGTCACGGAAGGGGCTGATATTAGACGTCACGGAAGGGGCTGATATTAGACGTCACGGAAGGGGCTGATGGTGGACGTCACGGAAGGGGCTGATGTTAGACGTCACGGAAGGGGCTGATGATAGACGTCACGGAAGGGGCTGATGGTGGACGTCACGGAAGGGGCTGATGGTGGACGTCACGGAAGGGGCTGATGTAAGACGTCACGAAAGGGACTGATGGTGGACGTCACGGAAGGGGCTGATGGTGGACGTCACGGAAGGGGCTGATGTTAGACGTCACGGAAGGGGCTGATGTTAGACGTCACAGAAGAGGCTGATGGTGGACGTCACGGAAGGGGCTGATGGTGGCGGTCTCGGGAGGGGCTGATGTCAGACGTCACGGAAGGGGCTGATGTTAGACGTCACGGAATGGGCTGATGTTAGACGTCACGGAAGGGGCTCATGGTGGACGTCATGGAAGGGGCTGATGTTAGACGTCACGGAAGGGGCTGATGTTAGACGTCACGGAATGGGCTGATGGTGGACGTCACGGAAGGGGCTCATGGTGGACGTCATGGAAGGGGCTGATGTTAGACGTCACGGAAGGGGCTGATGTTAGTCGTCACGGAAGGGGCTGATGGTGGACGTCACGGAAGGGGCTGATGGTGGACGTCACGGAAGGGGCTGATGTTGTACGTCACGGAAGGGGCTGATGTTGTACGTCACGGAAGGGGCTGGCGTGTCCACAGCTTGATAGTACGAATTTTCTATCTATTAAGCCATATATAACGAATACTATATCTATACAGCCTTATATAATGAATATCTTATCTATATATCCTTATATAACAAATACCTTATCTATATATCTTTATATAAGGAATACATTGTCTATATAGCCTTATTTAACGAATACGTGATCCATACAAACTCAAATAATGAATATTCCATCTATATATCCTGATACGACGAATATCTTATATATATAGCTGTATATAACAAATACTTTACCTGTTTAGCTGTATATAACAAATACTTTATCTATATAGCTGTAAATAACAAATACCTTATCTGTATAGCTGTATATAACAAATACTTTATCTATATAGCTGTATATAACAAATACCTTATCTGTATAGCTGTATATAACAAATACTTTATCTATATAGCTGTATATAACACATTCTTTATCTGTATAGCTGTATATAACAAATACTTTATCTGTATAGCTGTACATAACAAATACTTTATCTATATAGCTGTACATAACAAATACTTTATCTGTATATCTGTATATAACAAATACTTTATCTGTATAGCTGTATGTAACACATACTTTATCTATATAGCTGTATATAACAAATACTTTATCTATATAGCTGTAAATAACAAATACTTTATCTATATAGCTGTACATAACAAATACTTTATCTGTATAGCTGTATATAACAAATATTTTATCTGTATAGCTGTATATAACAAATACTTTATCTGTATAGCTGTATATAACAAATATTTTATCTGTATAGCTGTATATAACAAATACTTTATCTGTATATAAGGACTAATCTAGCCTTCCTGGTGGATATATAGGGTGTCTGCCCGGATGGCGAAAAGTCATACCAGAATACATAAAAATATGATACTCGTTACCCTGTCTGGCGCTCCACGTTAAGGGGACACGGGCCGGTCGGCTCGGAATCAGTATACTGTGTATGTGGGATATCCGTGTTAAACTGCGGCCTGATATTACTAATCATCTGTCTATTTAGCCTTATATTACTAATCACCTGTCTATATAACCTTATATTACTAATCATCTGTCTATATAGCCTGATATTACTAATCATCTGTCTATATAGCCTGATATTACTAATCAACTATCTATATAGCCTGATATTACTAATCAACTATCTATATAGCCTGATATTACTAATCATCTGTCTTAATAGCATTATATTACTAATCATCTGTCCATATAGCCTGATATTACTATTCACCTGTCTAAATATCCTTATATTACTAATCATCTGTCTATATACCCTGATATAACTACTCATCTGTCTAAATAGCCTTATATTACTAATCATCTATCTATATAGCCTTATATTACTAATCATCTGTCCATATAGCCTGATATTACTTATCACCTGTCTAAATAGCCTTATATTACTAATCATCTGTCTATATACCCTGATATAACTACTCACCTGTCTAAATATCCTTATATTACTAATCATCTGTCTATATACCCTGATATAACTACTCATCTGTCTCAATAGCCTTATATTACTAATCATCTGTCTATATAGCCTTATATTACTAATCATCTGTCCATATAGCCTGATATTACTTATCACCTGTCTAAATAGCCTTATATTACTAATCATCTGTCTATATACCCTGATATAACTACTCATCTGTCTAAATAGCCTTATATTACTAATCATCTGTCTATATAGCCTTATATTACTAATCATCTATCTATAAACCCTGATATGACTAATCATCTATCTTTATAGCCTTATATTACGAATCATCTATCTATAAAACCTTACATTACTAATCCTCTGTCTATATAGCCTTATATTATTAATTATCTATCTACAAAGCTTTATATTACTAATCATCTGTCTATGTAAGTAAGGATAGGATTTACGGATGAACAACTTTTTCATTACAATTAAGAGCGACGTTTCAGTGTAATAAAGAAGTTGTTCATCCATAAATCCTATCCTTTTTCCGTACTCCAACTTCTACATGCCTATCAAAGAAGTTATCTGCCTGTGTGGCCTTATATTACTAATCGGATCGGTCGGGTAGCCTAGTGGTTAAAACGTTCACTCGTCACGCCGACGACCCGGGTTCGATTCCCGACATGGGCACAATGTGTGAAGCCCATTCCTTGTGTCCGCCGCCGTGATATTGCTGGAATATTGCTAAAAGCAGCGTAAAACCATACTCTCACTCACTCACTCACTCACTCACTCACTCACTCACTCACCCACTCACTCACTCACTTTTATTACGAATACTCCGTCTGTACAACATTTAATTACAAATGGTTGTTTCGACAGTACACTCCCGCGTTCCTCACTATAACCCATGTCACGGTAACATATCATCAAATGATAAATGTATATTTGGTATAAAGAGTGATGTTCCCTTCATAACCGTGCCCCGCTTCCACTGAAAGCAGTCAATGAGTTCCAAATTGTGTGTCAATAGACCTATTCCAAAACTAACTGTATCAAAATGAGTTTAGCAGAGATCAAATCAGCTCTCTTCTCCAAAAGCACGCCAATCATATTGATTACACTCAGTTTGATTGTTAAAAAATATCCAGTGTATAAAAGAGAATTTTTTCTGCACCTCAGTCACCGTCATGCGTTCATTCTTCATGTATTCAGGCCGACGTCGGGGACGCGAAGTCACTTCAGCAGCGCCACTTCTACACCTCCAAGCCCCCTACTCGCAGAACACTGCGCGAGGACCTCAAGCCTTGATCTCTGTCTCAACCTCAAGCATCTCATCGATGTCCGAGGCAGACGACCTGACAGTGAAGCAGAAGATGAGAAGAGGTCATTGAAGGATCTCCTCGACCGTGAAGGCTCACACGACTTTCCGCCGACCCTCGTGGTGTTGACACCTAACGTGGTTTGAAGGCTTCATCCCAGTGCTCTGTGTTAATGGATGGGGATCTGCATGTAACCACAGTATTTTCAATGTTCAAGGAGTTGTTACACAGTGACAGTAAGACGGAAACCCGGGATGTCAAGACCCAGAAGTGGCGGGTGCTTTCAGGGGATTTCAGAACAGGATGTGAAGACGGACAGGGAGGCAGGCAAAGCAAATCGCTATTCTGTTCTAAAGAGCATTTTTTTCTGTTGTGAAATGCAAGTGCGCTGTTCGTAGAATGTTGTTGTCGTGGCGAGACCCGCCTGATCTCGGACGTTAGTTCCTACGTCAGCACCTCCGCATGAAGGTTGTGATGGAATATTAATCCCAAACAGAACGAATCCAAGCTTATGGTTGTCATTGACGTGTTCAAATGTGCAGTTAAATGGTCTCTATGTTCCAGACATATTCATAACTCACCCAACATAAGACCCTACATCAATTAATAGCATACATTATCATGATCATATTTACAACAGAATCGCAATGTTTAAGGACATGAGATTTTTCGATGAAGATTATCTTTTGGTTATATAGTTCTTTTATTTATTCCAAAACAGCATATAATTTGTTCTTTACATTTTCCTCTAAAATTTGCTTCTGGACAGGATTTTTCTCTCTCCGAAAGCAGATAGCATAATACAGTCTAGGGTTTTTCAATGGCAGTATATTATCTTACGTATGTAGAAAAATTTAACCACTTAATGCATATGTTAGCTATAAAGAGAGGGTGTCACACTATTTTCCCCTAAAACACCATCCATACTAACACCCTCCATATCCCTACACCCTCCATACCCTACACCCCCACACTTTTACACCCTCTACATCCCTACACCCTCCAAAGCCCTACACCATCCACACCGTTCAACCCTCACTACCCCTACAACCCTCACTACTCCTACACCCTCCACACTCTACATACCCCTCCACTCTCCACACCCCTACATCCTCAACACCCTCCATCCTCAATACCACTACACCCTCCACGCTCCTACAACCCTCCACACTCCACGCTCCTCCACACCCTCCACCCTCCATACCAGTAAACCCTCTACACCCCTACAACCCTCCACGCTCCACACTCCTCCACACTCCTCATCACCCTCCACACTCCATACCCCTACACCATCCACGCTTCTACACCTCTACACCCCTACAACCCTCCACACTCCACACTCCTCCACACCCCTACACCCTCCACACCCTCCACCCTCCACACTCCTCCACAACCTCCACCCTCCATACCCCTACACCATCCACGCTTCTACACCCTCTACACCCCTTAAACCCTCCACACTCCACACTCCTCCACACCCCTACACCCTCCACACCCTCCACCCTCCATACCCCTACGCCCTCCACGCTCCTACACCCTCTACACCCCTACAACCATCCACATTCAACACTCCTCCACACCCCTACACCCTCCACACCCTCCACCCTCCATACCCCTACACCCTCCACGCTCCTACACCCTCCATACCCCTACACCCTCCACACCCCTACACCCTCCACGCTCCTACACCCTCCATACCCCTACACCCTCCATACCCCTACACCCTCCACACCCCTACACCCTCCACGCTCCTACACCCTCCATACCCCTACACCCTCCACACCCCTACACCCTCCACGCTCCTACACCCTCCATACCCCTACACCCTCCATACCCCTACACTCCTCCACACCCTACACCCTCCACGCTCCTACACCCTCCATACCCCTACACCCTCCACACCCCTACACCCTCCACACCCCTACACCCTCCATACCCCTACACCCTCCACACCCCTACACCCTCCACGCTCCTACACCCTCCACGCTCCTACACCCTCCACGCTCCTACACCCTCCATACCCCTACACCCTCCACACCCCTACACCCTCCACACCCCTACACCCTCCACGCTCCTACACCCTCCATACCCCTACACCCTCCACACCCCTACACCCTCCACGCTCCTACACCCTCCATACCCCTACACCCTCCACACCCCTACACCCTCCACACCCCTACACCCTCCACACCCCTACACCCTCCACACCCCTACACCCTCCATACCCCTACACCCTCCACACCCCTACACCCTCCACGCTCCTACACCCTCCATACCCCTACACCCTCCACACCCCTACACCCTCCACGCTCCTACACCCTCCATACCCCTACACCCTCCATACCCCTACACTCCTCCACACCCTACACCCTCCACGCTCCTACACCCTCCATACCCCTACACCCTCCACACCCCTACACCCTCCACACCCCTACACCCTCCATACCCCTACACCCTCCACACCCCTACACCCTCCACGCTCCTACACCCTCCACGCTCCTACACCCTCCACGCTCCTACACCCTCCATACCCCTACACCCTCCACACCCCTACACCCTCCACACCCCTACACCCTCCACGCTCCTACACCCTCCACGCTCCTACACCCTCCATACCCCTACACCCTCCATACCCCTACACCCTCCACACCCCTACACCCTCCACGCTCCTACACCCTCCACGCTCCTACACCCTCCACGCTCCTACACCCTCCATACCCCTACACTCCTCCACACCCTACACCCTCCACGCTCCTACACCCTCCATACCCCTACACCCTCCACACCCCTACACCCTCCACGCTCCTACACCCTCCACGCTCCTACACCCTCCACACCCCTACACCCTCCAAACCCCTACACCCTCCATACCCCTACACCCTCCACACCCCTACACCCTCCACGCTCCTACACCCTCCACGCTCCTACACCCTCCACACCCCTACACTCCTCCACACCCCTCCACCCTCCATACCCCTACACCCTCCACACCCCTACAACCCTCCACACTCCTCCACACCCCTCCACCCTCCATACCCCTACACCCTCCACGCTCCTACACCCTCCACACCCTCCACCCTGCATACCCCTATAGCCTCCACGCTCCTACACCCTCCATACCCCTCCACACTCAACACCCTCCACACCCCTTCACACCCCTCCATACCATACACCCTCCACACCCCTCCACACTCCATACCCCTACACCCTCCACGCTCCTACACCCTCCACACCCCTACACTCCTCCACACCCCTCCACCCTCCATACCCCTACACCCTCCACACCCCTACAACCCTCCACACTCCTCCACACCCCTCCACCCTCCATACCCCTACACCCTCCACGCTCCTACACCCTCCACACCCTCCACCCTGCATACCCCTATAGCCTCCACGCTCCTACACCCTCCATACCCCTCCACACTCAACACCCTCCACACCCCTTCACACCCCTCCATACCATACACCCTCCACACCCCTCCACACTCCATACCCCTACACCCTCCACGCTCCTTCACCCTCCACACTCATACACCCTCCACGCTCCACACCCCTATACCCGCCACACCCTTATATCCGCCACCCTCTACACTCCTACACCCTCCATACCCCTAAACCCTCCACGCTCCTACACCCTCCATACCCTAACACCGTCCATACCCCTACACCCTCTGCATACCCCTACACCTTCCACGCTCCTACAACCTTCCACACCCCTACACCCTCCACACCCCTACATCATCCATACCATACACCCTCCACACCCCTATACCCGCCAACCTCTACAGTCCTACACCCTCCACACCCTGCATACCCCTCCACTCTCCACACTATACACCCTCCACACCCCTATACCCTCCACACTATACACCCTCAACCCCCTCCACACTCCACACTCCTCCACACCCCTACACCCTCCACCCTCCATACCCCTACACCCTCCACCCTCCATACCCCTACACCCTCAATACCCCTCCACACTCCTCCACACTCAACCCACCATACCCATCCACGCTCCACACTCTTCCACACCCCTACACCCTACACCCTCCATATCACTCCACCCTCAACCCTCCATACCCCTACACCCTACATACCCCTCCATCCTCCACCCTCCATACCCCTACACCCTCCATACCCCTCCACACTCCACACTCCTCCACACCCCTACACCCTCCATACCCCTCCACTCTCCACACTCCTCCACACCCTCCACCCTTCATACCACTCCACACTCCACCCTCCATACCCCTACACCCTCCATACCCCTACAACCTCCACCCTCCATACCCCTACACCCTCCATACCATCCACACTCCTCCACACCCCTACACCCTACACCCTCCACCCTCCATACCCCTCCACACTCCACACTCCTCCACACCCTCCACCCTCCATACCCCTACACCCTCTATACCCCTCCACACTCCACACTCCTCCACACCCCTACACCCTCCACCCTCCATACCCCTACACCCTCCATCCTCCATACCCCTACACCCTCTATACCCCTCCACACTCCACACTCCTCCACACCCCTACACCCTCCACCCTCTATACCCCTCCACACTCCACACTCCTCCACACCCCTACACCCCCGACCCTCCATACCACTCCACACTCCTCCACACCCCTACCCTCCATACCGCTACACCCTCCACGCTCCTACACCCCTACAACCCTCCACAACCCTCCACTCTCCACACCATACACCCTCCACACCCCTATACCCTCCACACCATACACCCTCCATACCCCTTACACCTTCCACACCATACACCCTCCACACCCTAAATCCCTATACCCTTTTTACGTATAGATATTTATACCCGACACTCTATTGAGGGTTTCAAGAGGAGATTGTAAATTTAATAGGACAAACCAGACGGACGACTTACAAGACGTTTTTTTTCTTTCATGCATTTTATTCACAAGAGCTTAGCGATATATTTCACCGATATTTGTCGCCAAATGACTGTTTCGTTGTACACATGCATTATGTGTTGTTGTAGATAACACATACATAGAGGTCAGCTTGTTTATTTATTGTGCTACTTGTTTGATAAGATGTAAAATGTCGCGACCAGTAAATCAAGACATTGACATTCATAAACCTGATACCTAGTTTAAACTTCTGAAAGACCCATGTTGTTTCATGTATGTGTTACAATCTCATGTTATACACCATCTACTGATCCCGGGATAACAGCTGGTTCCAGAAGACGGAGCGCCACCACTCTCGGCCACTCAGAAGGCTGTAGCCTCCCTACAACGTCGTCTGCTACACTGACCTTCGTCTGCGGTTGACAAACCCGTCCATCTCGAGGCGGTTCAGACGCTCCGACCAATTACCGCCTGGAGATGAAAGCCGGCTGATAACATGCCGACAAATACATCTCATGTTCGTCAGCATATTTTGACACATCTTTCTTTTCGTGAATGTCAGTCGTACAAATTATCACCTGAAGATAGCTGCTTGGAGTATCTGTGCGCGGCGAGGGATTATGTCAGAGTGTCGAGGTGCTGGCGGCGCCAGACCGTGGGCCGGAAGTAAGCATGAACTGGCGATGTGATGTGGGAGACGGACAAACCCGCCAACAACCTTTCATGGTGGACGCCAGCCCTGCGTCCTTGCATTTCACAACCTACCGGGGCATTCGACATTACGTTTCTCCAGCCGTGTACAGAGCATGCGCAGACCACGCTAAGGGGAGATAAGAGCCTTGGCGCGTGCCTCACTGAACCTTTACGACTTGGTCTGTCAACATGGGTCCCTTTGATGGCGGTTAAAAAGGCACTGGTATGTTTGCCTTGTATGGATCTTCACACCTCCACAAGGGGTGGTTGTCTCACCTCCACACAACCAGCGAAACAGCAGACCGTCGACGTGAGCGCGCACTCAAACATGTCTGTCGTCTGCCGGTAGCCGCCAAATGTGCTGCCCCCTTGTGACACCAAACATGCGCTTTGAATGGGGTCATCGTATCAGAAGAAGACACGTTTCTTTACGTGTTGATCTTTGCATAAAGGTAATATTCAGCGTGTAGGTCAACTACCCGAAACTGCATATCGAGCTTGACATGAACATATATTTGACGGCCTGTAGAGTGTAAATACACACAGAAATAGCAGCTTGACGGATTGTGTCGTATCACGTTTCTTCGCCGCCTTGTCCCGTCATGAGTGCAACACGTTGACATGTTGGTAATTACGCCCGAGGTGACTGTCTCCGTGTCTCCTGTCACGTGATCAGTGCAACACGTTGACATGTTGGTAATTACGACCGAGGTGACTGTCTCCGTGTCTCCTGTCACGTGATCAGTGCGACACGTTGACATGTTGGTAATTACGCCCGAGGTGACTGTCTCCGCGTCTCCTGTCACGTGATCAGTGCAACACGTTGACATGTTGGTAATTACGACCGAGGTGACTGTCTCCGTGTCTCCTGTCACGTGATTAGTGCAACACGTTGACATGTTGGTAATTACGACCGAGGTGACTGTCTTCGCGTCTTCTGTCACGTGACACCTCCTCATCAACACAGTATCCCCGACAACAGGAAGAACACTTATATCCCCGCTGCTGGAGATCTACTACCAGAGATCCACTACTGGAGATCCACTTTTAGAGATCCACTGCCAGAGATCCACTGCTAGAGATCCACTCCAGGAGATCCGCTACTAGAGATCCACAACTTGAGACCCAGATCCATTACTGGAGATCTACAGCAAGAGATCCACTACTGGAGATCCACTACTAGAGATCCACTACTGGAGATCCGCTACTAGAGATCCACTACTAGAGATCCACAACTTGAGACCCAGATCCACTACTGGAGATCCACAGCAAGAGATCCACTACTGGAGATCCACTGCAAGAGGTCCACTACTGGATATCCACTGCAAGAGGGCCACTACTAGAGATCCGCTACTTGAGACCCAGATCCGCTACTGAAAATCCACTACTAGAGATCCACTACTAGAGATCCACTACTGCTAAATGTGACTGTCGACAAGGGAGATGGCCGCAGATGCGTCATGAATCATACAAGATGCAGCGATGACCGAGGGTGACACCGTGATGAGCAGCTGCACACATCTCCCTGCTGTATTTCTGCTGTTGGGGGACGCCAGGGCTGATCACTACACGTGGCTGTGGAGAATCACCTAATGTTACATGCAAACAATTACAAGGGCTGATTTAAGACTGATCAAACACAAGGGGCGAAATCAGCGAGATCGAATATCTGAAATTCCGCCCATGATGAGATTCATGTAAACAAGCTGCCAAAGACATGCAAACATAATAATAAGCTTAAGTTGAAATCGGAATTTATCAGTGCTTCTTCACCAAATTGTCTCATTATGATAAATGTTGAGTTTTATTGTTTTTCAACATGATTGATGACTGAATTATCGCCCTGTTAAACCCGAGGAAGGAAGGGTTAGATCTAAAAGTAAGCCTGGGTCAGTCGCTGAATTACGGGCCTTCCTATAACCCTCTTAATCACCACTCCCTTATCTCGGGTATGGTAGCCGATATGGTCACTGGCGGATTGCGGAGATCGGTTTTCGGCAAATATGAGGGGCAGAGATTTGAAACTTTCATAACAAAGAATTAGGATGGATAAGACAATTTGTAGTTGGATTACAGGTTTCTAAACATGAGGGTCGAATAGCGATGAAGCGGGGATTTCCCTCGGTTTGAATGCAGAGTAACGATAGGAAGGACACCCAGCACAGCCTCAGGTCGGCCCTTTGTGCTCCTGGTTTATATTACTGTTATGTATTCCTGGTTTATATTACTGTTATATATTCCTGGTTTATATTACTGTTATGTATTCCTGGTTTATATTACTGTTATCTATTCCTGGTTTATATTACTGTTATGTATTTCTGGTTTATATTACTGTTATGTATTCCTGGTTTATATTACTGTTATGTGTTCCTGGTTTATAATACTGTTATGTATTCCTGGTTTATATTACTGTTATATATTCCTGGTTTATATAACTGTTATGTATTCCTGGTTTATATTACTGTTATGTATTCCTGGTTTATATTACTGTTATGCATTCCTGGTTTATATTACTGTTATGTATTCCTGGTTTATATTACTGTTATGTGTTCCTGGTTTATATTACTGTTATGTATTCCTGGCCATATTACTGTTATGTTTTCCTGGTTATATTACTGTTATATATTCCTGGTTTATATTACTGTTATGTATTCCTGGTTTAAATTACTGTTATGTATTCCTGGTTTATATTACTGTTATGTGTTCCTGGTTTATATTACTGTTATTTATTTCTGGTTTATATTACTGTTATGTATTCCTTGTTATATTACTGTTATGTATTCCTGGTTTATATTACTGTTGTGTATTCCTGGTTTATATTACTGTAATGAATTTCCTGGTTTATATTACTGTGGTGTATCCTGGTTTATATTATTGTTATGTATTCCTGGTTTATATTACTGCTATGTATTCCTGGCCATATTACTGTTATATTTTCCTGGTTAAAGAACTGTTATATATTCCTGGTTATATTACTGTTATGTATTCCTGGTTATATTACTGTTATGTATTCCTGGTTATATTACTGTTATGTATTCCTGGTTATATTACTGTTATATATTCCTGGTTATATTACTGTTATATATTCCTGGTCATATTACTGTTATGTATTCCTGGTTATATTACTGTTATGTATTCCTGGTTTATATTACTGTTATATATTCCTTATTTATATTACTGTTATGTATTCCTGGTTTATATTACTGTTATGTATTCCTGGTTTATATTACTGTTATGTATTTCTGGTTTATATTACTGTTGTGTATTCCTGGTTTATATTACTGTTATGTATTCCTGGTTTATATTACTGTTATGTATTCCTGGTTTATATTACTGTTATGTATTTCTGGTTTATATTACTGTTATGTATTCCTGGTTTATATTACTGTTATGTGTTCCTCGTTTATATTGCTGTTATTTATTCCTGGTTTATATTACTGTTATGTATTCCTTGTTATATTACTGTTATGTAGTCCTGGTTTATATAACTGTTATGCATTCCTGGTTTATATTACTGTTATGAATTTCCTGGTTATATTACTGTTATGTATTCCTGGTTTATATTACTGTTATGAATTCCAGGTTTATATTACTGTTATGTATTCCTGGTTTATATTACTGTTATGTATTCCTGGTTTATGTTACTGTTATGAATTACTGGTTTATATTACTGTTATGTATTCCTGGTTTATATTACTGTTATGCATTCCTGGTTTATATAACTGTTATGTATTCCTGGTTTATATTACTGTTGTGTATTCCTGGTTTATATTACTGTTATGTATTCCTGGTTTATATTACTGTTGTGTATTCCTGGTTTATATTACTGTTATGTATTCCTGGTTTATATTACTGTTATGTATTCCTGGTTTATATTACTGTTGTGTATTCCTGGTTATATTACTGTTATGTATTCCTGGTTTATATTACTGTTATGCATTCCTGGTTTATATAACTGTTATGTATTCCTGGTTTATATTACTGTTGTGTATTCCTGGTTTATATTACTGTTATGTATTCCCGGTTTATATTACTGTTATGTATTCCTGGTTTATATTACTGTTGTGTATTCCTGGTTATATTACTGTTATGTATTCCTGGTTTATATTACTGTTATGTATTCCTGGTTTATATTGGGGTTGTGCATTCCTAATTCATAGTGGGGTTGTTTATTCCTCGTTTATATTGGTGTTGGATAAACTACAGGGATAATTGCTATCATTATCAAAAGAAAAGTCCAATATACTGAAAATCAGTGTCTAACTGT